CGAGAAGGAGCTGGAGTCCCACTGCAGCTGGGCTGCGCCCGAGGCCCTGCAGAAGTGGCTCCAGCTGACCCACGAGGTGGAGGTCCAGTACTACAACATCAAGAAACAGAATGCGGAGAAGCAGCTGCTGGTGGCCAAGGAAGGGGTGAGAATTTCAGCATCTTGTCCTGGGTCCTCCCCTCGCAGCCGCGGGGAAAGGTTTGGGGAATGAAACCTGCAGAATTGGTTTCTCTGCACCTTCTTTATTTCCCTTTTAATACCTTAAGTTTGCTTTTTTTTTTTTAAATGTAGCACAAACCTTCATAGAGCTGTAAGTAGGGGCTGAAAATGATAATGAGCGATCACGTCTCAGGGCACTGCCGGCACTGACCTGGGCATGCCCATCAGCTGCGTTAGCCTGTCTTCGGTAGGCTGGAGCCCTGGGAAGGTGCAGAGTATGAATTGCTGCCTGCGCGACAGCACTGTGGGTAGTCAGTAAGCAGAAGGTTTTGCACCTATTAGGCATAGTCCCTGCTCTAGGTGATTACGTGCACAGGCAATGAAATTTGTAACATGTGCATGCGACCTGTAGCGATGAATCATTTCTGTATTCCCGGTTCTTTAAAATTTTCTGTGCCAACCAAAAAGCGATGAGCTGCAGGGAAGCTGTTGTAACATGTATTTGTCTCTGTGGATGTACACAGCAGTGAGAGCTGGCAGCATAGAAAAATTTGTCTGCGTTAATATGTTTTTATTCTGAACATTTTAACATTTCAATGGTTTTCCTTTTGCTGTGTCAGTTTTCACGTCCATGTCCTTGGTTTGTCTTTTGTAAGTCTCAAGTTAATGCCACTAGATCTGTGAACCGAAGAGCTCTGTATGGAGACTTTAATTCTGAATATACACTCTGCCACAAAGGGAAGGCAAAAGAAACAATCCCAAAACAAAAAGCCTCCCCAAACCAACAACCCTAGGGCATTAACAGTGTTTCTCTAATAGTTGACTCATGGGAAAGGCAAAACAAGGCCTTATGAGCATGCCATTCGCTATATGAAGTAGCTGGTTCAGTTCCCTTTGACTCTTGGAAAACCAGGAGAAGGGCCAAAGGGGAGCACAAAACCCGCAACCTGCTTACTGGCTGCTGGCGAAATCCTCACCCACTGTGTTAGGAAGAATAACATCCTTCAGTAAAAACCCGATTCACACTATTTACATGTGTGCAAACAGCTGCAGGGACTATTTCTGTCTCAGCCCATCCAGGATGTTCTTGTCCTGGAGGAAACATAAGGTCGTCTTCTTCCTGTGACCTTTTTCTGTTGATGTTCCAGGCTGAAAAAATTAAAAAGAAGCGAAACACCCTGTTTGGAACATTTCATGTTGCTCACAGCTCATCTCTAGATGATGTTGATCATAAAATCTTAACTGCAAAGTGAGTATCTACTTAATATCTTCCCTTATTTCTTGCCTGCCTCTTTCACCCCTCTCATATTACAGACACGAGCGTACTGTAGCCCGTACAGGTGCTCTTGGTCTCATTTTGCTGAACTTTTCTTCTGTTGACTTTAGTTAGCTGGGATTGGACTTGCTCCTTTTAATCAATAACCTTTTAATTTTATCTGTGTGAAACAAGAAATTGCAGTTATGCAGAGCAATTAAAAGTCCTGTCAAAATGAGGATTCAGGAGGCTGCAGTATTCTTAAGCCATTATCCCTGGATATTTCAGTAGTTGCTGGTTGTTTTTTATTTTTTTAATTCCTGTATTCCTGAAAATGGAGTCAAAGATGTCTCAAGTATTAGGATACAAAGCTGAACCACTAGACTCCCTGTTTCAGACAATATATGGTGTGTTTTTCCTCCATTCCCTACATTTTCCCTTGCTTGAACCTTGCTTCTAGGCAAGCGCTGAGCGAAGTGACGGCTGCGCTGCGGGAGCGCCTGCATCGCTGGCAGCAGATAGAGCTGCTCTGCGGCTTCCAGATCGTCAACAACCCGGGCATCCACACCCTGGCATCAGCCCTTAATGTGGACCCCAGCTGGATGGGCACCCAGCGGCCTAACCCCTCGCACTTCATCATGACTGATGACGTGGACGATTTGGACGAAGAGATTGTGTCTCCCATGTCCATACAATGTACGTAGCCTGTGTTAGCTGTGCGTGGTGAGTCTGCATCTGCCGTGCTGCCGGGTGCTGCAACATGGGGAAGACCTGCAACAGTAGTTCAAATGTGTTAGGGGGAATTAAGGTGTCTAAGTTGGTTTTTAAGTGACCAAAGACAGATTGTTAGTCATTAAGGGTCAGGAATGTCCGTAAGTGCCAGACCACCACTGCTTGGGGTTGCTTGGAGCCTGTTAATTCCAGCAGAACTAGTAATTTGTAGATGTTATTAGTCATCATTTAATCATATGTATGCTGTTCTGTTCAACTCGCTGAATTTAAGCATTTACAAAAAAACCCAAAGGCATGGGCTAGACTCACAAAAGTGAGAAAGGAAAATGAAGTGCATTGTCTCGATCTCCCCTTGGCTAGAGCACTTGTTTGGGATAGAAAAGGACTTGAAGACTCCCCCTCCTCATGCACAGCTTTGGACTTGCACCTCTTGCCATTCTGTATGGGGAGGAGCAGTCTGCTGTGGGGATGCTGCCTACCTGTAATGGCCTGTTAAACATTTCCTGCAGCAAAGACTGAAACCCCAATGCCCCGTCTCTGAGCATGTGCTGTAGTCACCAGGGTGGGCGTTCTCTCCCTCTTTATCAGTGACTGTTCGTATACAAAGTGCATCAACTCCTGTAGGGAGGAATGGGGCTACTGGAGAGGGAGGGTGGATGAGCCCAGATCTCTTGGAGGAAGGAACGGAACTTGGGTCACCCTGTGCCTGTTACTCTCTTAATTGCTGAGCTCTTGGATTATGCAAAGGCTGTCTCCTTCTCCGTGAAAGGTTTGTGAATCAGTCCTGACTGCTGTTCCCATGTTCAATTGACCCAGATTCGGCCTTGCTTCTCTCAAAAACGCATTTTCCAAATACAGTTTCCTATCTCTAGCTATTGCACAAGAGATTGGGAGGCCTGAAGAGCAGCTCCAGCCGCTCTGACAGCCGCTCTGTGACAGCGATCTGGCTGGCGCAGGGAGCAGTACATGGCTAGAGCACAGCTTTCTGAGTTCCAGCTGGGAGAGGGGAGCCAGTGCTGACAGCGTTAGCTGCAGCAGTCGTCTTGGTTATGTCCGATTCAGGTCACTTTCTAGTGAGGACTTCATCAAAAGTCTATTTAACTGAGTAGGAGGTGGGGAAGAGGAACAGAAGAGTCTCAGGGTTGGCAGTGTGTGCTGCAGGAGATGCCCGTACGTGCCATCGCCATCCCTCCCTTGTGGTTTCAGGCTCTGGTTAGATGCTGTGAAGGTCTGGAGGCAGGTGCTGAGGTTGGGGTCAGGGCGATGGAGGCAGAGCACCAAGGATTTGGGTAGCCTGCAGAATGTTTAGGGCAGGAGGACGGGGTATTTGCATGTTTCCAGGGCTCAGCAAACGTGGGGGTTGGAGCTGGTGGTTTATGGGCTTGGATGTGCGTAGGGAA